ACTTTGACAGTATCAGTTGCAAAAGATTTAACCCTAATGTGGGGAGCAACTGGGAGCAACTCGGACTAGACTAAGTTACTGGAATTAAGACTTATTCTATGCATCTGCTCTCCCACAATATGGCGCTGGGAGAGGAGCAACAGCTTCTACCCAGCTGCCTCTCACCAACTTGACAAGCTGCAGGAGCTGCTCCTGATTGGAGGAGAGCAGCGTACTCAGCGTGTGGGTAGCAGAGTTGGGATTGGTGGAAGAGGACTATAAAGGAGGAGAGAGACAACATGCACCAGGAACATCTATCTGAAGGAACACCTGTGCAGCCCCCGAGAGAGCCGGCCGGCGGTGTGCCACTCCCCCGTGGAAGTGGGGAAAGTGGCTAGGGGGAACCGCCCTTCCACGGAGGTGGAAGGATTGGTAGCCAACCCGGGAAGAACCAGCAGCAAACCCGGGAAGGGCCGAGCAGACAAAAGAACAGTGCAGGGTCCTGTGTCGTTCCTCCACGAAGATGGGGAGCGACACCTAAGAACCAGCTATTTAAACAAAACAGTTTAATTTTAAAGAATAAATCTATGAAAATACTCAAACTAGCTTACTCTCATTCTATTCCCAGTCATCCCCTTCTTTGTTTAATTTGTGACTTTTCTTCCCCTCTCCCTAATAATCTTACTAATATTTTCTCATCTGATGAAGAGAAAAGATCAAATTGGCATGTCAAGACCAATAAAGACACTGAATTGTTCTTAACCTAGGTTAAGAGAAATATCTCTGCATTGTGCTCACATATGATTGACATTATGTCCATATGCTACCTCCTTCCACTGCTGCAGTTACGTCCACTTGAAATCACACTAGGCAGTAAATTTCGAGTTCTATATGTTTCAATTAGGAATATGTAAACAATATTTCAATGTCAAGTAAGTCTTTCACAAATATTGTTTTAGTCATAGCTTAGTTTCACATAATACAAATGTGTAATTTGCCTAATCCTCTATTGTTTGTTTAAATTGTTTCTATTATTTCATTATGTAGTGTGATGAAATACTTGCTCATTAATTTTTTTTGCAATTTAGAATATTCTTTTAGAAGGGACTCTAAGTGAATTTCAAAATCAGAATAACTGGTATGGGACTATTGTGTTGTAATAGGCCTTGCAGACTCAGGATCCCCTACCACTCTAGTCTTGGTCTAGAAAAGAATGAAAATAATGCATAATTTTTAATTAATTGTGCTAATGCTAACTAAATGATCCTGTAGCTCAGAGCTCTCCTCAGTTTGGGTTAAGCACTTAGACTGGCCTAAATTTTTCAAGAAATTCAAGTATCTTTACATCTAAAATCCTCACTCTATCATCGTATTACTTTGTAGCTGACAACATGATATGGAAGAACAAAGAGATGACACTGAGATCTTGTACAAAAATGAGAGAAGAAAGCAAGGAAGGTGCTTAAAAGGAACCTTATTCTGCTTGTCTGTCCAGTCCCACCAAGAAAGGAAATAAAAATAGGCATGACATTTTAAAGCACAGTGACCCTACCCATTAATAAAAATGGACCAATTAACATCCTTGAAGGTTGTAAGTAAGTATTATACTCCTTGTAGGGAAAAAAACAATAGCAAATTTATGTCTGCTCTATACTGTTGAGAACTGGGTCACAGCATATGTCTACTTAAGTCTTTTAGTAAATTCAGCAAAATTATTTTCCAGAAAGATTGTACTATTTTTCCTACCAACTTGCATTTGCAAATGTGTCTTGTTCTTTGCATTCTCATTGTATAGCTAATGTGTTCTGAAATATTGTGTAATTTTTGGAAAGTAATATAACTTCTCTATGTCTAAGTTTCTCCATTTGCAAGACAACAATAATAATATCTGTATCATAATGTTATTAGGAGGTTGTAATCATATAAAACCTTTAAAATAATGTCTGTTATGTACTAAATGCTCAAGTTCTAGTTTTATTTTTATTACAATTTTTCTTGTTTAAGTCTTAGCTGTTAATCTAGGTGAAAAATGTATATCTCAATGTGGTAATTGTAATTGCAGAGTTATAATAACATTGAATAGTTTTCTTGTACTTAGTAGTAATCTATGTTACTTCTCTATAAATATTCTGTTTGTGTCCTTGACCCATTATTTCTTGAAGCTAATTTTCATAGTGTATTATACAGATTCTTAGTGTAACAAAACTATTTAACTATTGTCTGGCATCACCCCCAGATATTTTTCCCATTTCATGGTTATCTTCTAATATTGCTCATGATATTATCTCACAGAAGTCTTTGAGTATATGCAATAACTGAGTACATATTATTCATTGTAGTTTCTTAAAAGGCTTTTAAAGTCTATTCCTATCAAAATATCACAATAATTTTAACTTATTTTCTTCCATTATTTTATTTTAATATTTTTTAAAGTTTTTATTTTAAGACACATGAACTTTACATATCTGAGTATCATGTGATGTTTTGATTCATGTATGCATTGTGTAATGTCCAGAGTAAATACATCTCTATCCTCAAGCATTTAACATTTCTTTATAGTAGAAACATTAAAAATCCAATCTTTCAGTTTGTATTTTGTAAAATAGAGAAGTATACAGTAAACTAAAATTATCCATAGTTATTCTACTCTACAGTAGAGACTCAAAATGTCTTATTCATATCTAAATATGATTTATTACCCAGTAATCATATTTTTCATCCTTCTGCCTCCCTCCTGAATTTCTGGAAACCACCATGATACTTTTACCTTCTATGAGATCTCCCTTGCTTTGAGACTTCACATAAAAGTAAAATCTTGTGACACTTGTCTTTCTGTGCTTAGTTTATTGCACTTAACATAATTACCTCCAGTTTCACCTGTGTTGTCACAAAGGACAAGATTTCATCCTTTTGTGGCTGAGTACTATTCCACAGTTTCTATGTACCACATCTTCTTTATCCATTCATAAGTGGATTGTCAATTAGGTTATTTATTTGACTACTGTGAGTGGTGCTGCAATAAATTTAAGAGTGCAGTAAATATAAGATGTCTTTGTGAGATACTGATTTCATTTACTTTGGCTATATAACCGGTAGTAGAATAAGTGGGTCATAGATGGTGGTTCTATTTTTAATTTTTTAAATAATTCCATGCTATTTTCCACAATAATGGTACTAATTTACATTCCGACCAACAATGTGCAAGGGTTCCCTTTTCACCACATCCTCTTTAACATTTGTTATCTTTTGTTGTTGTGATAATAACCAATCTAATTGGAGTGAGGTAATATTTCATTGACTTTTTATTTGCATTTCCTTAATGATTAATGATATTGAGCATTTTTCCATGTACTTGTCAGCCAGTTGTATCCTTCACTTTGAGAAATGTCTGTATATATCTATCTAATTTACATTTTTTAACTGAAGTATTGGTATTGAGTTGAGGTCCTTAGAGATTTGGGCTATTAACTCCTTGTCAGATACAAAACTTGCAGATATTTTATTTAGACTATCTCTTCAATGTTTTATTGTTTCCTTTACTGTGCCAGAAGCTCTTTATTTGGTGAAATTGTGTATATGTGTATATTTTTGCTCTTATTTCCTGTGTTTCGGGATTTTTGATCCAAAAAAATCCTTGCCCATCTCAGTGTACTAAAGTATTTCCCTATGTTTTCTTCTAGTAATTTTGAAGTTTAAAGTCTCACATTTATACCTCTAATCCATTTTAAGTTGATTTCCACACGTGGTTGAAGATAAAGGTCTAGTTTCCTTCTTCTGCATGTGGATACCCAATTTTACCAGCACCACATTTATTGAAAACAGTTCTTTTCCCGATGCGTATTCTTAGCACCTTTGTCAAAGATCAGTCAGCTTCTTGGGTTTCTATTCTGCTCTGTTGGTCCACGTGTCTGTGTTTACGCCAACACAACACTGTTTTAATTATTGTAGCTTAGCAATACATTTTGAAGTCCAGCAATGTGATGCGTTCTGCTTTGTGCTTTTTTGCTCAAAATTGCTTTGACTATTCATGTACTTTTGTGTTCACATATACATATTGCTATTGTCTTCTATATATGTGAAAAATACCTTTGGTATCTTGATAGGGGATCGCATTGAATCTGTATATGACTTTAGCTAGTTTGAAAATTTTAAGTATATTGATTCTTCCAATACTTAAACATGGTAGATCTTTGACTTCTTTGTATCCTCTTCAATTTCTTTTTCTTCAATGATTTACAGCCTTCATTGTAGAGAACTTTCATCTCTTTGGTCAAACTTTGGAAAGTTTCCTTTTATTGTCTCTTTGAATATGCTTTTAACTCCTTTGGCATTCTCGAGTTCCTCCTGACCCCTAATAATTTGAATGTTTGCTCTTTTCCCTCCATCTCAAATTACCTGTAAACTCTCACCATTCCTTGACTGGGTATTTTCAAAAAGCTTGAACTGATTCCTTCTTCCAATTCATCTATTCTACTATTGATGCCTTCTATTGCATCTTTAATTTTGCTAAGTGTCATTTTCAGTTGAAGGTTTCCTGTTTGATTTTCTTTAATAGTTTCCATTTCTCTATCAAGACTCTATGTTAGAGCATTAAATCATTTCTCTGTGTTCTTTAGAAGTTTCTTGAGTTTCCTTAAAAAATGTTATTTTGATGTCTTCATCCAAACATTGAAATACATAAAACTAGAGATGAAAAGGGAAACATTAAGATTCATACCACAGAGATGCAAAGTACTGTTAGTGATTACTACGAACAATTATGTGGCAAAAAAATTGGTAACTTAGAAGAAATGGACAAATTCTTGGATGCACTTTACTAAGATTGAATCATGAAGCAATAGAATAAAGAGATCAGTAGTAGTTAGCAAGACTGATGACATTTGACCTTTCTGGTCTTGATAGTTGTACTCTAATATGGGATGTGAACATACCAAGTGGCATATTAACCCCTATGCCAAAAACTTGAGCTTCCTGGAAGTTCCTGATGTTTGTTGATGTTGACATCATGTGTGCATTGAAAGATGGGTTATGATACTCTGGCTTTGTTTGTGGCTGTCTTTCCAGAAATTCTAAGCAGGTGATTTCTCTGAACCTATGGACACTTCTGCTATTTCACCACTAGATGGTGGCCTAAATCAATGTTTGCATCAGGTCTGCTCAGTGTGTTTTCACCAGTTGTATTGCACAAGCACTTATTTGTCACAAAATCAATGAGTTTTTCAGAATGAACTATGGAAGTATCTAAAAATTATCTAAAATACTCATCCCTAAAACCTCTTCCAGGGGCTTGGATAAGCCCAAGTGTTTAGTCCTATGACACAATGCTAGTTCTTACATAGAACTCATAGCCCTCCAAGACCTGTGTAACCTGCGGGGTAGGAACAAAGCCAGCCCTGCTAAGGCCTGTCTGCTCCTGAGCTGGACTTACCACCTGATGCCACTCTTACCAGCCACTGGTGATTCTAGCTGGGATATAGAACTGCTCAAATGGGGCCTCAGAATTCCATTTGGCACACAGGTCCAATGCCTCTGTCTGCATCACTGACTTGGGCACAAGCATCCGTTAGGATCTTCTCAGTGTTGGTTTTTCCCAAACGACATTGAATCCCAAAATATTCTTCTGGTTCTTTGCTGTCTGCCAAGGTTGAAGGAAGGATGACAGAGATCCTCAGTCTCCCAGACTGGCACTACGTGGGTCATACCTGGGTCTCAAGTCATCAGACCCTGTGCAACCTTGCAGTGTGTGTCAGGCCAGTGTGGGGCTGGCAGTGATACAAGCTGAAAAAAGCCAATCCCAAGGGTACAGGTCTCCATCCAATACTGGGGAAACTCTCTATGCCAAACAGATAAATGGGCATACATCTCTAGGGGTGAAAGAAACCAAACCTGTGTACAAGAGTTTGTCTTTCTGGGCCTCTCATCAGATTGCAGACCCAGATTCTACTATTTATTCTCTTCCTCATCATTCATTGTTGACTCCGCTTGGAAACCTATTCGTCATTGTTCTCACCTCCATGGATTCTCAACTCTATACCCCCAGGTACTTTTTTCTAAGAAACCTCTCTTACACAGATATCTGTATTTCTACCAGCAATGTCCCTCAAGTGTTTGTTCACCTCCTGGTAAAAGTGAAAACAGTCTCCTTTTTGTCTTCCTTCTACTTGGGAGTACAGAGTGTGCACTGCTGGCAGTGATGTCCTATGACAGGTACGTGGCTGTCTGCAAGCCCCTGCACTACTCCAGCATCATGACACATTGGGTGTGTGTCCAGCTGGCTGCAGGGTCCTGCACTATTAGGGCACTAGTGTCTCTGGTAGATACCACCTTTACTTTCTGTCTTCCCTATCAGGGTCAGAACATAGTTAATCACTACTTCTGTGAGCCTTCTGCTCCTCGGAAGCTGGCTTCCGCAGTTACCTATGGCACGGAAATGGCCATCTTTGCAATGGGCGTGGTGATCCTCCTAGCTCCTGTCTTTCTCATCCTAATCTCCTCCTGGAATATCATCTCCACTGTGCCCCAGATGCAGTCTGAGCATCACACACAGATGCAGAGGCTCAAGGCTTGTTCCACCTATACCTCTCATCTCATTGTTGATCTCTTCTATGGATCTGCAATATTGACCTACATGCAGCCAAACTCCAAGACCACAAAGGAGCATGATAAGATGATATCTGTGTTCTGCACAGTGGTGACTCCAGTGTTGAACCCCATAATTTATAGCCTAAGGAACAAGGATGTGGAGAGGGCTCTCAGGAAACTATTGGAAGAAAGCTTCGCACCCAGAGGCGGTATGCTAGGGGTCTCACTTTTAGAACTGTGGTAACATCCTTTAAGGAGGAGCAGACGTTTGGCAGTTATGAACTAGGTAACTTCAGGAAGAGACATATGAGTGAAGGTCATGTACAAGAGACAATATTACACTTTTTTTTTTTTTTTTTGACTGGCAGAGGGGACAGTGAGAGAGAGAGACAGAGAGAAAGGTCTTCCTTTTGCCGTTGGTTCACCAATGGCCGCCGTGGCAGGCACGCTGCAGCCAGCGCATGGAGCTGATCTGAAGCCAGGAGCCAGGTGCTTCTCCTGGTCTCCCATGGGGTGCAGGGCCCAAGCACTTGGGACATCCTCCACTGCACTCCCTGGCCACAGCAGAGAGCTGGCCTGGAACAGGGGCAACCGGGACAGAATCTGGTGCCCTGACTGGGACTAGAACCCGGTGTGCTGGCGCCACAGGTGGAGGATTAGCCTAGTGAGCCGCAGCGCCAGCCAACAATATTACACTTTCAACTAGAACATAGGAAAGAAATAAAAACATGAGACGTTCAGTAATGTCCTGGTTATGAAAGCTGTCAGATGCTGTTTTGAGGAACATACAGTGAATTCAGCTGCCGTAGATATGTCTTCAGCATGATCAGATTTAAAACTAGGACATACAGACTGTATTATCCTGAAATATCGTCTAAAATGCATTGCAAGCATGATTAGAACATCAAGGATAGTTTTAGTGTGTACGTACAGGTCATACAAAATGTGGAAAGACTCCAATTAAAACAATCAAAATGTCTGGAAGAGCCTTTACTATGGAATCATTTGGGCCTAGGAGATTTCTATTTGTGAAAGATAACAGAGGATGGGGCCAGCGCTGTGGCACAGTAGGTTAATCCTCTGCCTGCAGTGCCATCATCCCATATGGGCACCAGTTCAAGACTCAGCTGCTCCTCTTCTGATCCAACAAAGCAGTAGAAGATGGCCCAAGTCCTTGGGCCCCTGCACCTTTGTGGGAGACCTGAAGGAAGCTCCTGGCTCCTGGCTTTGTATCAGCCCTGCTCCAGCTGTTGTGGCCATTTTGGAACTGAACCAGTGGATGGAAGACCTTTCTTTCTGGCTTTCCCTCTCACTGTCTGTAACTCTACATCTCATGTAAATAGATAATATTTAAAAAAAAACAAACAGGAGGAGAAGGAACGCACACGGGAGGAATTATACTTTCCAGTTCATTTTTTCCTCTTGAAAACACATTTGCTATGATTTGTGGTAGGTAATATGCAGAGTACAAAAATAAGTATATGAATGAAATTGACATCTTGGAATTTC